TTTACACATATCGAACATCGAAGCATCTTACGAGAATACGTTTCTTTTTACGGTTTGAAGCGCAAAAATTATGTATCGCGGTTTCTCTAATTGCGATGTCGTTTTTACAGCCCACCCATGAATGTTTGGTCGTGCTTTGAAGCAGAGGGAATTCGTATAAGTCCCATGATCGAAAACCCACGCTGAGATATCGTCCGCCTTCCAACGTCCGCAAAAGCGATAATTTATTAACGTCGTTCAACATTACGTGCGGTATTTTCCATTGTATCTTCAATAGTGTGATCTTAGGTTCGTCCGAATCGTGCGCCACAGCGCAATTGCTATCGTTATGCGCACGTATCAGAATAAGTTCAGGTCGCGTGTTTATCACTATACGTTTGTAATCCTCGCAAAATCCGAGGAGCGTATTAAGCGGTACGCAGAAGTTGAAATCTTCAGGTATCGGGATGTTCAATATATTGCTCCAATTAAACGAACTGATCCATCCTGCGTTTTCCAACGTTTTATTTTTATCAGCAGTCAGTGATACGTAATTTTTGATTGTGCTAGTAATACCGACGTTTCTATTTCTGTCGATTTCAACACCGTCCAACTCGTATCGAATCTCATCGAACATGAACGCTACGCAGTTATTCGATAACCTTGATTGGGAGTTGGAATCATCCTCCTTCTTCCTCTTCACCAAGAATTTGCCCTCGACGTAGAGAAAACTTTCGCACGGTAACGTGTACAGATCCTGATGCTGTATAGGTATTCGTATTTCGTCGCTGTATCCGAATGTAGTATTAGCGTATGGATTGTAGGTGTGAGTCTCGATTTTAACGATACGATCGTCGAAGATCGGCTTACCCCCGATATTCAGGATATCGTGACTCATTTCTTACGACGAATCCTAGGGATCGTAAAAAAGCAACGTTCGCAGCGTTCAATATCCCCGTTCTTCTTCGCTTTTTTCCGTCGTATCGTTTGAACGATGCTAGTAACGTCGACGTTTGCGATGTGATTTTTTCGTCGTACGATTCGTTCAGGATGAGCATCTTCCGTTCGCGAGCATAATTTTTTAACCATCTACGTCGTATGTGAAGTCGAACCGATA